AATGAACCAGGTGTAAAATGCTGAGTTATAAAAATATTACATCTGAACACAAACATTTGATTTTTTCGAAGTGGGGATAAAGGATGTTGTCCTTGTTTTTATTTTTCTTTACTATATATACTTAATATTACCTGATTGTTGGTAAGGAATAAAAAGTACATCAAACCTTTTAAGTTAGAAGAATCACATTCAAACAAATCTTAAATTTCACAGACAAACAAAGAGATATAATTTTTTTTAATTTTCGTTTCTTCGTCACAAACAATATATTCACAGAATAAATGAAATTCCCATTTAGATGTATTTTCAAATCTTAGGGAAAAAGCTAAGTTCACGAAGTGCAAAAATCCGCCTAGTCAGCAATATAAGCGAAACTTGCTGAAATTATACTCGAAGATTTGTATGTTGTAATACATTTTAATTTTTAAGAATATCTTTTCTGGTTTTCTTTTTACAGCCGTTTCAATTTAGCATTGTTTTCTTAATCAATGCTGTCACGTCATTACGTTGACGTTATATGCTTCAACACCGTGACGTTGACGTTTTGTATAAAAATAACACATAAACGTTTGTGGAATAAAATTCAACAATATAGGCCATCCTTCAAAATTTTAAAATTTCAGGACAATCTTTCTATGATTTTTTTAAAGAAGTTCTGAATTTTTTTTTTTTAAAGTTATCTGTAATTCAAAGAAATGAGAACTATTTGTTATATATTTATAAATAATGATTGAGTGGAAAAAACGTGGATACATGCAACACCTTTTAAATGAAAAAAAGGGGCAGATTAAGTTGAACACCAACACAAAGTGTTAATCTATCATATCTGAGTAAAACTGAATTTTTTGTAGTAAAATATATACTATGGTAGTCATGGAGGAAACGGATTTTAATATTCTTAAATTAGTTATTATATGGTCCTACGGCACACACACTTTAAAAATAGAGATTTTGACAAAGAATAGACAAGTGTTCTTTAATAACGAAAGCATAAAAAAAATGCTTAATTAAAAATGAATATGTTTGTTGTTAAATCATCATTTATTATATTGTCATTTAAAGATTTCGCTGCATTCCTTAATTTATGACATTTCCTGAACATTTGATACGTACCCAGTTTTTACATGTAATACACGAAAAATAGTGACAATTGACGGTTATCTTACGCACACAGAGCAGTATATATACATATACATCTGTATATTTAGGAAAGAAACCACAATATTGTAGACTTTTAAACAAAATTGATGCAAAGCCGGCGCACGTAGCATCGTCTTTGAAAGAGGGGGGGGGGGGGGGAGGCCAGAGAATTTTTTTCACTTACCTGTAAATTAAAGTTGACAAGCAAATAAAAAAAAGAAAAAGAAAAAAAAGTACTAAAACTCGAAAATCCTATTTCGTGGGGGAGGGGTGGGGCAACTTTTTTCAATGTCAACTTTCTTTCACTACCAATTGTTTTTCAAACAATACTACATTTCCCTGATATCATTTTACTATGGTAAGAAGTGAGGGGGGGGGGGGGGCACCTTTCAATAAACATTTTCAATAGCAAAGGTAATGTTGGCAAAAAAGTGCCCCCACCCCTTTATTGCTACGTGCCTGCAAAGCATCAAATTGGCCGCAAAAATTAGCTTTTTCGTTAAAAAAAAAGAACAAAACGAAAACACAAGATTTCCAAAGTATTAAAATTATAAGAGTTAAAAAACAAGATAACCACCATATTCGCTAGCTACGGGTTTGAGAAGATGGTTAAACGGACATAGCACGTAAACCAATCATTTATTGTAAATTACTTAATTGAAATAAATCCACCATTGAACGATAAAAATGTTATATAATCAAAATGAAAAATTCTATCAAACTTCTCTCAGTACCACTTTTTATTTTAAAAATCTACACTTCATCTTCTTTGAATACACTGCAACATGTGCGTGTTGAAATGGGGGGGGGCTTTTTTAAAAAAAATAATATTTCAATATTTACTGATAATATAACTTATCAATATTCTCATAACTGAATAAAATCAAAATTTATATTTATTGAAAAACTAGAGGATTTTAGCATTTTACTTAGCATGCCTAGCTTTCGACAAAGGGATTAGCTAAAAAAAAAACTAACGCACGAGGATTAGGATGACTAGCTATCGACGAAGAGATTAGCTCAAAAACTAACGCACGAGGATTAGCTGATTCACAGCGATTTCTATGGAATTGTTCAGATCTAATCACTTAATATTATATAGGGGAAATTCAGTAGAGGTATAATAAACGAAACTAACTTCACGTGCTAATATGATGAATCTTTGTCATGTGACAAAGCCGATGTTCTTTCAAAATATATGCGGGGTGAAAAAAAATCGTTGTGTCTTTTGAAACTAATTTATCTAGGACTTCTTTTCAGAAAACCTATTACAGTATATGAGACATTTCGGCACTGTAATTCATATCCTGACAACATGTCAAGCAACATATTACCTTAGCATACCCCCCCCCCCCACCCCACCCCCCGGATACCATGTTGAATGAATCAGAGACAAACGCCTTATCTATGATGTTATATTCTATACGTTATTTCAAGAAAACAAAAATGACAGACAGGTAAAATTTCCAGTTTAATCCGTTTATGATACATGTAATACAATTGGTACATACCAGTATAATGAATTAATCCAATGACCAAGTCACGAAACATCAGTAATGTTCTTAATTTTTTATAATACCGATTTTTAAAAATAAATGAAAATGCAATTCAATTATTAATATCTTTTTAAATATTACTGTATCCCTGTAGTATCTTTATTGGCATATTCATTGCATATATCATTGTCTTATAAACAAGTACTAAAGTTATCTGCATTGTTATTTGTCACACATCAGTAATGATTTGTCATACGTCATTTAATACAGTGATATTGTGGGGATCCAAACACCCCCCCCCCCCCCCATTACCTTCAGGCTAATTTTTTTGTTAGAAGACCTCACTCTCTCTTAGCTTCTAGATAATTTTATGTCCAGGCTCAATCTCCTATAAGAATGTACTCTACTATATACTGACTTGCTAATCTCGGCTGCCCTCTTACTCTTAGACCTGAAGTTGAACAGGTTACATTTGAGAGGAATAACTCAAAATAAAAAGAGATAAACAAGTATCCTCCCCTTGACTTTTTTTTCATGTGGCATGAAGGCGAGACTGGAATTACCTGCAACCATAATGAGCTGTCACTATCTCGGTACATGTAGTAAGTTATTCGTTTTTACAATGTACATTGTATTAGTCTAATAAAGGCCCATCACAAAAATTACACACGATCAAAAATCAATATATTTAATTTTTCGCAAATTGTTTATTTCAATAGATCAATTTGATTTTTCAACTCGAATTTTCTAGGTTCAAGACTTTGTTACATATGTTATAAACTCTCGGATCGGAAAATATTTTTAATAATAAACTTTTTAAAATTAAGCAGTCTTCTTGAAATGCAAACAGCAGTTTCTGAAATGCATGTTGGTTTCGGATAGGGCCTGTTGCTTTGTGCGCTTGTATCTTGACTCAGCCAAACGTAAATCATTTTTTTTTATCATTTATGAAGCCAGTCGATGCAGACTTCTCGACATACACAATTTGTGTTTTGTAAAGGGGTAAAGCAATAATTTTTCAGTTTATATATACATCCTGGTAGTTGCTACCGATGCAATTAATTATGTTAAAAATATATTCTAGGACTATTTCCGACTTGGTGACAATAAAGTTTCTCGGGTGATCTCCCTTTGATTACATAGTGATCATGGAGACGAGATCGGGAGATAAAACATCAATACATTGTTTGTAAAATAAATAAGATTTTGGGGAAACAGTATCCATTTTTTAAAAATATTTCAGCAGAATCAATGATAATGTAAACCTAGATCAGCAGTGCTTGACTAAAAAGTCTTGGGTTAGGAATGAGTCACCATTATTGCATATTCAGGCAGTCATGCTTATAGAGACTCCGAGAGATTTTCGTACTTTTTTTGCACCACAACAGAAAATAACTTATAATAAATGGTATTTTTGCATTTAAAAACTAATTAAAATTTACAAAAGCAACATATAATCTTGTTTCTTTTTAATTAATTTGGGTAAACCCCCATTATTTCCACTTTGGTGGTCGTTGCGAAGAGATTTGAATCGAACGAAAATTAAATATTTCGATGTGGCCACACCCCTCGAACAAAATAAAATAACACTCTATTTGTGCATTTTTTAATTTTCTTTTTAATGGTTTGAATATTATTTTGTTCAGAAGGTGTGGCCACAGCAAAAATTTGAATCAAAGACGAAAAAATGCTAAATTTTGATAAAAAGTGGCAAAGTTCACGTGTTTAGACGTTTTCTGCACAAATATGACGTCATCAAATGAAAATTTTGGCGTAAACTATTCAAGTTTGATACCTAAGGATAATATTTCCGTAAACAATTTTCTTCTTCCCCTCACTTTATTTTTCCTAAAATCATTAGGCCGATTTAGCACATTCGTGGATTTAGCTCTTTCATGAAAACATATGTATATTATTGTTATTATGGTCAGATTTCAGTCTTTAATCTCCCACTATCTTAAATTTTAGTCCTAGAATTTTCTACGACCAGAGAAAATTTATTGCTTTTAAAAAATACAATATTCAACCAATAAAGTACAAATCAACCGTAGGGTAGGGTGGTGCACTAAATTAAAATTTTGGATGGTTTAGTCACTCCACCCTATAAACAGGGGTGCCTTGTAGCAGTAGACATGAAAAAGATCCTTCATAGCTCAATGGCCATGAATGCTGGGTATATATTGTTTCATGTTTGAAGTAACTCGTCACAGTAGTCACAGTACACGTATAGTGCTGATCCACTGATTTTAAAATTACAGAAATTTTCAATGAAAGGAAAAAAAATGTCGTCAAATTTTCAATCTAATCAGTGAAAATTAAAACAGGGCGTTTCTTAAATTTTTCAATACCATATACATGTAATCTGGACATTTCTTTAATAATCCTGCGATGTGAACGTTTGTTCTTTTTTTACTTTAGATACTGAATTTTCTTAATGCTCCCACTATCATACTCAGCAACAAACAACATGTCATTTTTGTCCACAAATATTCCACACGGAGTCTTCACATCACAGTTGTCTATGAAACGAAGGAACTGTCCATCCCGGTCAAGGATATGGATGCAATGATTTGAGAGATCTGCTGTTAAGATTTGACTCTGACTGTCTGTTGCTATTCCTTGTGGTTGGAACGGTTTATCTTTCGAAGTAGAAGCATGTCCAGTGTATCTAAATCGCAGTTTTCCAGTTTGATTAACCACTACTACGGCCTGAGCTTCCCAGTCAGCCACACAGATGTCCAGGTTTCTGTTCTCAATGATGTACTTAACTTTGTACCTTCCTGAATATAAAGGTTTACCCTCGTCATCGAACTGGATCGTCTGTTTTTCTGTGGATCCTGAATATCGGACAACCTTAGATTGTGTTTCGTCATCACTGGACATGGTAACAAGGAGATCACCAGAGCAGGTGACACACAGACTAAAAGGTTTCCATCCCTGAAATTTGACTATTTCTTCTATCTCTTCATTCTTTACTTTATTTACTGTTTTTGCTTTCCTGCCAGAATACAGAAGGTCTCCATTTCTGCTGAATGCTATATCGTATGGCACAGATTTAGTTTTGATTGTTTTGATTACTGACCAATGAATACAGAAGCATTTCAATTCTCTGATATCATATGCACATGTCCAGATTTCTTTGTCACCGTTACAATTAACACTACGGAGGTATTTTTACCCAGTAATAATAGTGGTAATCAGTTTCGGAACGTCCATCATTTCTACTTTGCCGGCGTCTTTTGCAATGTCATCTTTTTTTGAGCTGCAGACATCAGAAAGAGTTGAAATGGCATGCCCTTTATGTGTATCAGACGTTGTTGTACATAAGGAACAAACAGAGATTTTGCAATCTTTACAATAAATTTCACAGCTCTCTGTTGGATGCTTTGCACATTTAGGATAAATCAACCTTGATTTCTTCTTTTGAAATGGGACGACTTTATGTTTATCGTAGTCATCAGAAATATGTTTTCCTACACAAGGGATGCATAGATGAACATGGCACACGTCACAGTACTTCTGTACTAAAGCGTCCTTGCAAAGGTCACATCGGATGACATCTTTGGCACTGCTGCTTGGATCCATGTCAAATCTGAAATTTAAATGAATTATTAGCTTTCCAGAGGAGAAGATTTCTTCATGAAATGTAATGCATCTGTGTGTAAATTGTTTAGAAAAATGGACGTTAATTAGTTTTCCTTTTTCACGGCATTGACTATGCAAAATATTTAATGAGTGGTCACATTAATTATTACTTTGAATTCCATTGCAAATTCTTGTTCGAAATATTAATACTGCTTGTCGCGAAAAACATACATTACTATTTTTTCTAAAGTTTAAAATTAAAAATTACTTAAGTGATACTTAATAATAAAAAGAAAAAAATGATATAATAAAAAGAAAAAAATGAAAGTTCTTATTTATTGATCGAGTTAATACTTTAATAATGTATCCTATCCCAAATAAACTTATTATACATGCATGAAAGAACTTTTTCTCGATATAAACAGCTTAACTTTCAGTCTGATTATCAGAAGATGCATCCATTTCACCTTCTACCATGAATATACCTCTGAAATTAAATTATTTTCAAACAGACTAAACATTTTGTCATCACAATCAATAAATTATATATCATATTAAATACCTTTAAAAGAACAGTCCAAACTGGCGTTCAATGCCCAACCTGGTTGTCAAGTAAACACAGAGTTAAACTTCCTGGTCACGTGCCATTTAAAATTATCTTTCTTTGATATTGTAAATTAAAAAAAATTATTTATCTATATAATACTGAAATTATTTAGAACTACAGTGCTCCAATGATACAATTCTTTTCCCACCTATCGCAAAAAATCCCAAATCCCGATTATAATCAATATGAAAAAATTGGTAATAATAACACCCACTCCCCAATACCGTTAAAACATTTAATGACAAAACTGTGTAAGGGAACAATTATACATCCCGTTAAAGGAATTTTCAATGTGTTCAATGCTACTTTAGATTAATCGATCAATGCATTGATTATCACATCATTTGACCAGATTTGTTGATCTGACAGCACCCCTAAATAATCCCATAATTATTCTGTAGTAATCACGTATTTAGCAAAAAATATTTTAAGATAATAATAATGCATAGATAACAGGCATAATTACACTTGATAGCATGTACTAAACTGTCTTTTAGATAGGTATGTATTTTTACTTGAGTTTTTAGATCTTTACAATAGTAGTGGCCTTTTCACATTTCTTTCCATGTAAAAAAAAATGAGTTTTATGAAATGAGTCAATATATGAAATTGTTGTTTCATAAGAAATTTAATAAGAAATTCCTGATTTATTGTTATGCTATAGTATGCAAGAATTTTATGCACGAGCCTAACTCTTTAAGATATATTGTAAATTAGTTCAAATTGTACTATGACAACAAGCATAGGCATAACCTTGAAATGTTTATTTAAGTTTTCGATGCATTCAGTATGTTCTTTTTTGTTTACTTTTATAGATACATAAATGTTTATTTTATTATTCTGACCATTTTTTTTATCAAAATGCTATTTTTACTATAACAAAAATACATATTATGTACGACAATCAATTATAATATCACCTCACACACACTTTCATAATTTTAACCAAGTAAATTTGGTTTTAGTTCTGTTTGAAGAATAATATCAATTCCTTTATAAATAATACCATGCACTTGTTAAAAACATGTGTTTTGTTTATGTATATTACTTAGAACTTTGGCGATTTCTTATTTGCAGTGTATCTAACAAAATATGTCTTACATAATATGTTTGCTTTTAGTGTTTCAGGGCCTTTGTTTCTTTTTTTTTTCTCATTTATCTCTTGGAAAAGTCATCAACACAAACATAAAGTCAATTTCAAAAAAGATTGGGTTTCAGAATTGGGAAACTGGCAAGAGTTCTTCCTGAATGAAATTGTCAGAATGTTGCTCCGTAGTGAACACGTACATCTACAGGGATTTCTTGACATCCATCTAGGACAGCTTTTCATTAATTTCAAATGTTAATAATCATTTTCAAATTTTGTAATTTGAACATGTGCATTTCTGGTAATGCAGAAGTGAGGAGTTTCTTTGTATGTTGATTAACGTTCCCCTCGATAATTTTTCACTCATATGGAGACGCCATCACGTGCCGGTGGAGGGCTACAAATTTTGTCCTTTACTCGTTACATGCGACCATTGAGCAGATAGGGATCTTTTTCGTGCCAGCATATACTATGACACTGGACGCGGTTTATACTGTCTTATCCGAAGGACCAGTCTCTTGTTCCTCAGTGGGATTCGAACCCATGACGTAAGGATCAACTCCTTACTTCGCGATTCTAGAGCAAGAAAAAAACTTCAAACAATACAAATATATGAACAGGGCATAAATAAGTGTCACTGGGTCTTTTGTAGGATATAAATATAACTCCAACACTGGATTCGGCACAAAAAGTATTTATTTACAAGCTTATAACAATAAACCTACAAAGTATAAATCAAACACACTCTCACAACACAATACACAAAAGACAAATACTTTACATTTAAGGTCAGACATTAACAACACATAGATACATTATATGATTGTTCTTGTTGGGATTAATTAGTAAAAGTAAAAAATAAATGACTGCCGTCATGAGAAAAGGGCCCTTATCTTTTGACGTCACAATGCTCAGAAAACGACGTCAAAGTCGCGGTATTGTAAACACGGATGTAATTTTTGTTGACTGCATTTTGTAAACAAGAAATAAAATTAAATTTCAAAGCGTAAGAAAAATTTGAAACTTGAATGGACCGTTTTTAATTGGTATATGATATATTTACAATTTAGTACGTAAATTCATTCATAATTTTGTTAAAGTATTTACCTTGAAGTAGATATACGGGGCATTGGACATGCATGTTGCTTGCTATGAAACAGTGATCAAAACGATGTCTATGCATGACTAAATTAAAGATGCTGCATATTTGTTTTCTAAGCAATTTACAAATGCTTAATTGAATTTTGAATTCATGTTAAGAAGTCTTAATATTAAAAGGTATATTTCATATACATTTATATTTTTTTTTCAGAGAGAGAGAGATCTATGCATATATAGTAATTACCGTTCTTATAAGCACTACTTTTTTTCTGAAAAATATATACCATAATTTAAAACGTATTCGGCCATTTTAATTTCAATCCATAGTTTATCATACTGATATGCCCCGATAACCAGCCTTCGGTGAAATGTCGATTTTAAAATGTGTGTAAAAAAAGGGGGAGAGGGAGGCGAGCCAAAAAATCTCCGAACAAAAAGACCGGTAAAAGTTAAAACATAATCCCTCTTTGATTGAATAAAGATACTGGTAACATGGGAGATCCAAACCTTTTACATAAACAATATAATTTTTTTGCTAAATTAACAGTAATAGAATATGCCAAGGGAAAAAATTTGGATGATAGGGATGCCACGAAAATTTTGCCAAAATAAATTTTGTTTCAAAAACTAATTTAAAATGATCAAATAAATACATTCAAAGGAATTGTATGGTAGAAATTACCATTGTTTCAAATTTCTGAAATTGTTCAGATGAAATGAATGAATGAAATCCCACTGGAACCTATATTGCAATATATTAAGAAATTGAATACAGCTATTGTAGACTTTTCCCAAAAGCATTATACCCAGTGTTGAAGAAATTAACAATATATTACATCGACAGTGATATTATGGATGAGGATTTTTATAAACCAAAAGGGGAAAAAAACTATAGCTCAGCAAAGTTTTCTAAGCACGAATTTCTGGATAACATCAAATACATCACTGAAAGAGCAAAAAGTATTTGACAAATTGTTATGGGTGTAATTTCCAAAAGTTATGAAAATGCTTAAAATCTTTAAAAATTTTAATGAGCGTGAAATAGATATCACTGAATATTCATGATATGAAATAAATATGTCACATTTTGCGTTGAAATCTTCAATTCTGATCATCAATACATGTATAAAAAAACCCCGCATATCTCGACATTCAATTCTTAAAGTTCCGAGATAAGACTTTATATCATAATCCTTATATGACTCTGCGGAAAGTAATTAATAAACAAACATTAATTTTTCTTCTTTTAAATAAAATATTGGCCATTACAGTCGCACGCAAGTAGCAACGGATGTTGGGGTGTACATTGAAAGTCGCCCCCCCCCCCCCACCTCCCCACACATACACACATTTTGTTGCATCATAGTCAAATTCGTGCACTTTATAGGGCAAAAGAATAAGGCACTGTATTATGGTTGACTAAGAAAATTTTAAACTGAAAGAAGACTGAACCTAACCACCCCCCCCCCCTCCCCAACGGCGAAATTGGATTCGAGTTTCGACACACACACACACTTTTTTTTTTTTGGTTGAGTAGGTTTTTTAAAGGTAGATTTATTTTTTTCCTATCTGAACCCCCTCCCCCTTTTTCAAACGAGTTGAGTGGGGACTGGCGAAGGTACGAGTCAAATGTTTTTTTTTTTTTCATTTTGATATGTTTGGTATGTTCTGAAGTAATAACTAGGGAAAATGGCTTGCCTAAATATTTTCAGCGAAAGAGTCAAATTAGAGCGGTATACTATTACTTAATTAACAGCATCGCCTCATACAAAAAGCATTAACGAATGTTGGACGTAATAGTTCATTATTGGATAAGACAATCGCATCTAAATGTGAAAAACTTCTAAGGTATCAAGTTAATTAGCCTTTGTCACGGAGGAAAATGAATAGATGACCGTTCGTGGTCGTAAAAAAAATGTTTTGCTTGTCAAGGAAAATTTGGTGGTAGTGAGTGCCCAGAACTGAAAAAAATATAGCTAACCCCCCCCCCCCCCCCCCAACTGAAATGGCTTCCTAAGGGCCTGCCGTTCTTGCGTAAAAATATATTAGTATTCATTCAGTTTCAAATAGATTTCATCAAAATTTAGAACAGCACAATTCTCATCTCTTTCATTAAGTTATACAATATTATACATAAATCATTTTTTTTAGATCATAGTTGTCCTTGTAAGAATAATACAAATTTTGTGTTTAAGTGAAACAGGGTACAGGTGCCACAAATTTAAAAAAAAAAGTTAATGTGCAGAAATATTTTCAACCGACTTAATTGTGATTTACTTCTTAAAAAAATAAGAACTTAAAAGACGGTTTCAAATTGAGGTATAAATTCAAAGAAAGTTTCAATTTAAGGTACGGTATATAAATGATTCAGATTTATTTGTCCTTTAGTAGCCTATTTACTATGTTTCTACTCCATAACTAAGACAGGCGAAGAAAATGAATTGTATAATCAATGGAAACTTAGAGCTTTAAACGTTTTAAATAAACTATTCAAAAACGATTGATTGTATATTGTTTAACGTCCCTCTCGAGAATTTTTCACTCATATGGAGACGCCAACACTTGCCGGTGGAGAGCTGCAAATGTTGTCCTATACTCGGCACTTAGGGCCATTGAGCAGGGAGGGATCTTTTTCGTGCCAGCACCTACTGCGACACGGGACCTCGGTTTATACGGTCTCATCCGAAGGACCTGTCTCCACGTCCCACAGTGGGATTCGAACCCGCGACGTAAGGATTGACTCCTTACTTCCTTGCATGGAATAAAGAACGTATATTTTTTTCATGAATGTTTATAAAAGGAATAAACGTTTTAAAAGACAAGTTTACATATCTTGGCGTATCTAAATTTATTATTTCTCAATTGAATTCTTCGGTGATACAGAAAATACACGGTGTTTTTTTTTATCGTAACAGTTTTAGGGAATAAAGGTACGTGCGTGTGTGTTGGTGAGTGAATGCTGTCTAATAAGATTTTTTTTTAAATATCGGGATCGATGTGCTTTTTGCGAGGAGCGCCCCGATGTGCGCGCGGTGTCCTTCTGCATCGGATTTTCTCTCTCTATATATATATATTTCTTTAAATCTTTAAGTGTTACAAGTGCTTTATATATCTTTATAAATTAAATTAGATAATTTTATATTAAAATAATAATTTGTATGAATATAAACAAATACTATTTTCCTACTGATTATGTTATAAAGCGTTCCTAGATTCTATCTAGACCCCCCCCCTTTTTTCCCAAATTACCAGATCTGCTCTAAAATTAGCACGAAAATAGTAATAACATACGAAATCTCTTAAGAATAGTTAAATACTAGTCGCTTGGAATAAAAAAATTAAATACTTTCTCAAGTTTCTAACTCTCAAAATGATTGATGTTAATAACATGTAATTTCAAGATTTTTTTGAAAATTGAATTAGACGCAGGCGACGTCATTACGTTTTCACTGAGTAACGTCAAAGTTATTTTGGAGCGCCTCACTAAACTGCTCATAAAATAGGGAAAAGGTGAGATATTTTCAAAATTTATGTATATTTGCATTCAGAAAGAGTCCGGCTATCAAAATCAACCAAAAAGTCAATTTGTGAAAATTTGACCTTAAGGGCCCTTTTCTCGTGACGGCAGTCAAATTAATTTTACATAATATTATAATAAATGAAAACAGAAAGCTTACCAGGAATCCAGCTAATAAACTCCAAGTGAATCTTTGAAGAAAGAATAAATATACAGTCTTCTACCGTAAAGGCAAGGGGTAAAGAATTTGGCGGGTACAGCTGTGCTTATAAACTGAGTGCAGAAATTAAAACATGTATATTAATGAGATAAAAGCGGTCAGTCACTGGTCAGCAGTAAGGTCACATTAGGTCACCTAACTGGAAATACGTGTAAATACGAAAATATCCAATGTCACATGATCTCTCATGAAGTTGCCTGTATCGGTAACGTACATTATTGTTTATGTTTTAAAAATTATCTTTCGTGACACGATTTAAGACAAACTGAAAATTTTAAATGTTCTAAGCAATCATTTTATAATAAAGACCCTTGAGAAAGTATTTCTTTGATAATATGCCACCATTTATTTCGTAAGATTATGACATAAAAGTACGATTTTAACCATTTTAATTAACTTTCTTTAAAAACTATATGAATCGCGTGCAATAGTTCATCAGTTGAAAAAAGATATTGCGATTACGAACAAGAGTCAGGTCCAAAATAATACCAACAAGATATATGTTCTTATATTACATTTACCCCGTTGTTGATGACAGTGTTTTTGTGAATTATTAAATAAATGAACATGCATTTATTACCTAAAAGCCAGAGAAGAATTTCTTTATTTCGTAATAAGATTTTTAATCTATTTCAGAGCAAATATGAGGGTTAATGATTACCATCGTCACTACATATTATTTTTTTTAATCGGTTCATGCAATATGTTTATGTGAGGTATTGTATTCTCTTAACTTTACCACTATAAAACTCAGCAACAAAAAGATCGTCATTTTTATCCACACATAATCCATATGGATCTTTCAGATTACAGTTTTCTATAAAACTGAGGAACTGTCCACCCTGGTCTAGGATGTGGATACAGTGGTTATCACTGTCTGCTGTCAGGATCTGACTCTGACTGTCGGATGCTATCCCGTAAGGTTTAAATGGTTTACCTTTAGTAGAAGGATGTCCAGTGTATCTAAATCGGAATTTTCCAATTTCGGTGACGACTATTATAGCACGATCCCCAGAATCAGCCACACAAATATCCAGGTTTCTATTCTCAGTAATGTACTTGATTTTGTCATTTTCTGAATAAAGAGGTTGGCACTCATTATCAAACTGAATTGATTGTTTCTCTCTGGAACCTGAATAACGGACAACTTTTGATTGTTTACAATTTTCACTGTGCATTGTAATCAGTAGATCATCAGAGTAAGTTACACAAAGACTTAGAGGACCCAGCCCTGTAATCTGATCACCTCTTTTGCTTTTCCATTCTTTATTTTATTTATAGTCCTTGTCGTCCCAACGATATCAAAATACATCAGATTTCCATCACTGCTCATTGATATGTCACGTAGCAGTAAAACCGATTTTGTTTCTATTGTTTTTATCAACGATCCCTGAATTTTAAAGCATTTCATTTTACTGGAGTCACGGGCAGTTGTCCAAATTGCTTCATCACTGAGACAAGCAACACTGTTTAGTTTTTCATACGCTGTGTTAATAGTTGATATAAGTTTTGGTTCTGTAAGATGTTCTCTGATTTTCTTAAGTTTGTAGCCATTTTCTTCCATTGTTTTTTATATTGGTGTCAAAGATCCAAATGATTCATAAAGTTGTTGACTATTTATTGATTTTGGACTAAATGTTGTCAATGATACTTGAATTTTGGTAGGAAAATTCTTTGTTAGTGTTGTAATCAATGCTCATTGACACTTCATTTGATTTTCCAATTGTTATTAGGTTTAGACGTGTTTGTTCAATAAAGTACTGTTTTTATTTTATTTCATCCAAATGTGTTTCCAATATTTTTTTGTGTTGCTTTTTGTTTTACATAATTTCTCCTTTAGTTTTTTATCGACAATGTTGTTAATTGTGTTATGCCATTCTTCTCCATGATTCAACACTGCTGTTGTAAGTATCTAAAATAGCAATCTGAGATTTTAAATCACTAACTATTTCATCATAGGTTGGAAAAATACGGTTTTCTAATTCTTAGGAATCTTTTCTAATAATGCTTCTTTTTCAATAAAAGAGATCAAAGAGAGTTGAAATTGTAGGACTCTCATATATATAAGATAATGTTGTACATAAGGAACACATTGAGTAGTTGCATTCTTTGCAATAGAATTCACAGATTTTTGATTGATGTTTTGCGCATTTAGGATTAATCAAGGTTGAATTTCGTTGTTCGAATGGTACAACTTTATGTTTGTCATCAGAAATATGTTTTCCTGTACAAATGCGGCACAGGTTGACATGACAGAAATCACAGTACATCTCTCCTGTAGCGATCTCACAAGATAACAAAGGGTAACATCTTGGGTACTGTTGCTAGGATCCATGTTGAATCTAAAATTGAATAAGGAGCACGTATAAAAAATATCTTGTGACATCTGAACAATTTCATAAATTGTCTTTAGAAATAAAAAGTTAAAAAAAAAAACATTATCATAGTAAATTAGTAGATGACTGGGTAAATAATTACTTTGGAACTTAAATCGTTCCTATAACTCTCATCAGTAAAGTTAATATTAGTAACACTTCACATTTTCTGCGAACATTAAATTAATTTAATGTCCACAATTTATTCGTAAATTTAATTTTATTCGGAAATTTGATACCAAGTATTTTGGTTACTTTTCAAAACCGACTAAGTAACCGTGTTTGAAATGTTTAATACGTTGTACATGTTGTTTTGTTTCTGATGATAGACCCACTCTTTCAAAAAATTTCAATATTTTATTCGATTTACAAATTATGATGTTTAAACACCCTATGATATTTTAAGTGTATAAGTATTGATTCATGATTAATAAATATAAACCTGTTATAAGTATGACATTAAAAATGGCAATCAAGGGTCATAATGATACTGTACATGGACATGTATGAAGTATTAGGTCTACATTTGGCCTTATATTTCGTGTCTTACTTAAGTTATATGCTGTTTACAAAGTCCATTTTATTAGAATTAAACTGATAAAAAAAAAAGCTGATTATAGTTTGTTTGGACATAATGTAAATTTTGGCTATTTTGAAAATGTTTTATCAGAACGTTCCCAAGGAAACAAATATTTAGCATTTTATCGTCACCTGTTAAGTTTTTTTTAAGTTGCTAGGAAAATAGTTTAATTTCAATAATGTAAGATTATACAAAATTATCCTATCAGTTAATTACTTCAACTTATTTTAGATAAGTTAAACAAGAAGGATCAGTCACTAACTAAGTTTACGTCTAAGGTTTGACGCGGCGACACGAACGAGAATAGAACCCCGGCCTTCCGATCGCAAAGCAAACACTCTCACACTAGGTTACCGTGACCGGTGAAATGATAATTATATCATGAAAAATGTTATATTATTACACATTACCATAACCCTAGGTCAGTACGCAGAATACACATAATGATTATGTTTCATTTCCTACATTAAACTGGTTTCTTAACTTTAACATTAAATTTCATATTATCGATATTTGATTTTTTTCGCATTCCACCTTGAGAAGAGTGTAAGAGGAAACACCCGCTTTCAGCTTATTTGATAAAACATTTTTAAAAAAAAATCCCGTAATTAGGAGGAAGTGGTTACTTACGTCAATTTATATATAAAATCTATTTCAAACAGGAAAAAACAATAATATTCCTTAAAGACAGATGATACAAACAAACTTTTGTCGAAGAATTTGAAAATAACAACTTGGGTCATGTTTAAATGAATAAAATGAATAACTTTCACCGCGTAGTTTTTAATTTTTTATTCAGATTTGCACAAAAATGGAATTTAAAGTGAAAAATATTTGTATAGATTAATAAGGATGATTTCAGAAGGGCACAATTTTGAACATCACAGAAGGTTAACAATTTCTTTATATTCTAGAAATTTATTATTTGCATCATTTGCAAGGAAATTAGGCCAAAAAAATATATGCCAATCCAGGCATCCATTTTTTGTTTGCATCATCTGTCCTTAAGACAGATCGTAACTTTCATTTTCCTTTCTATATGAAATGGCAGTCTAGAAATGACGGATCACAGTCACATGCTAAATTCTGCAGATAATAAGGTTCATACATAGGTGATCTGGTGTTATTTAGGTATATCTGGTGTTTTATGATGATATTGTGTAATTACGTAATGGATGTTTGCTTATATACTGCTCTACAACCAGCCTCAAATGGACTGATAATTTTACATAATTATAGAATTGTATGAGGCATCTATTTTACTTAAAACATTGTTGTTTAAATCTTTAAAATTAAACTATTTTAGTTCAGGTATCAAAATTTTCCTCCTGAAACCATGTAATAAGTTGACAAATGAAGAGAGTGGGGGGTTTTAGGCAGCTAGTGAACTTGTTTCTTTCATTAATTCCATGTGCAATTGTATATTTTAGCAGGAATTTTTACAATGCTCAGGCAGTAAAGGAATTAATATTCTTTTATTCTGATTTTTTTGTTAAGTGCATCATATCATTATTACGGAGAGTAAAAATGCAAACTTTATCTAAACTTTTAGTTGGATGATAAAGTGAAAATCATAAGGTTTTAAAAGAGCAGCAATCGGCGAACAACCTCGTTTTATGACTAGATTTACATATTTCTTTTATCAAAAATGGATTTATATCCGATAACTTACAGCTACTCTTTTAAAACCAATTCAAAAATAACCGTATGGAAATTTATTTTTAAGGAAGGTAATAACTTGCTTCTTAAAGAATTTACTATTTTGTTGTAATTTTTTCTTCAACCTTTTCTCTGCACATATTACACTTTTTTACTCTATAGCTACATACTATGTTTTAAATTCTGTTAAATTTTATCACTACCATCCGATAGTATATTATTGGACCGGTGTAACGACGAAAAGTGACCCCGGTAGAATATTGTCCAGGGGGTCATTTTTCTACGTTAAAAATGACCCTAGGTCAATATTCTACGACAAGTAATGTCATTTTTCGACTGTAGAAAAACATTCCAGACCATTAATTCTACGACCGCACACACGTTGAAAAATGCCCCCCATAGAAATTTGACCCCTTGCTTTTTTATACTATAAACCCTTATATCTGTGTCTCCTGATATTTCTAATACTTTCAAATGTAAGTAGGGTGAATTTTTTATGTACTTAAAAACTTTCCAACATATATTTGATTGCATATCAAAGTGGACTTTTACGAAAAGCACTGACTTCTACAGTTGACGGTTTACTTGGACATTTAAACTTGTATCATTTAGGGAAGTACAAAATTGATAATGCATAAGAAAACCTTTCTAGGTATGGTGTTAGGTGCACTAACATGTGAAGAGCGGGAGGTTAGGGTAGGGTGGTTGTCGTTTTCTTTAAGGACAACTTATATGTGCATTTAAATAACCCGTTATTTTCGTTTATTTAAATGTTGAGCAAAATATTTCTAACATAAAAGAGCTACCATACATAGCCCTAGAGTTAAAGTAAGCGTCAATTGTAAAAGTCAGCGTTCCTCGTAAAAGTCCAACAGTAACATCACAATCAATGTATCTGGTATGGATTTATTTTTGGCTTGCAGAATTTCAAGAGTACTGTGCAATAATATATTCAAGAAGTGGTGTGAATCAGATGTGGATACTAAAAAATTCCAAAGAACTTTTAGACAATTTGGAATCACAAGATTTTGCCAAAATCAACAGCTTAAAAACTTACGACTTTTCAAGTTTATACACAACCATTCCCAGCGACAAATTAAAATCCAGGCTTTTTGATATCATTGATAGCTGAACTCGTAAATTTACTTACCCCACCTCTGTCGATTTTCCCGTGAAATCCTGGCTTACGATTGGTTGAAGTCTGTCACGTGAAGGCGGTGCATTACTTATACCCGGTCAGTTGTAATTCTATACCCGGTCGATGTATTACGTCAAAAACACAAACATGACGTCATAATAGGCACGGTGTAAGCCTGATGAAGTATTTAGCAGAGAAAACCATTTTATGAACTACAGATAAAACGTAAATGTTTCATCGGTGGGGTGAATTCGTTACTTAGTCTTTTAGTGACAGGGTATGGGATGATACCTGGTTAGTAAATTTCATACCTGACTCGGTTTCGCCTCGCCAGGTATGAAATTTACTAACCAGGTATCATCCCATACCCTGTCACTAAAAGACTATGTAACTAATATTACCTGGTCATTGGTCTTTGCAAAATTATTTTGTTAAAACACATTCTGATTCCATGCACACACAAGTACTCTGATGTTAACATCAAAAAGATGCTTGAGTTTCTGATTGACAATATCTATGTGGTATATGAAGACCAGGTTTTCCAACAATCTATTGGAATTCCCATGGGTTCCAATTGCGCTCCCTTATTAGCAGACCTGTTTTTCTATTCATATGAAACAAAATTTGTGCAAAATCTTATGCGTGAAAAGAAGAAAACACTTGCTGTGGCATTCAACTCCACATGTTGATATATCGACGACGTATTGTCAATTAACAATGGCAATTTCCATTCCTACGTCGATACGATGTATCCTGAGGAGTTTGAGATAAAGGATACTACAGAGTCTGACACTTCTGTTTCATACTTGGAT